CACAGTGAAAAAAAGAAATACGGAAGGAAAACTAGTGAACACAAGAGAAGCAGGTGCTATTTTCTGGTGAAAAAATGTGTTGAGGTATATACCATCGAGTTACAGAGGTGTCATTACATTACAGACCCTGTAGTTGCCACGCATTTTGCGAGACAGTAACTTGTAAAACCATCTGCCTCCTACCTTCAGTGAGTCCCATGTGGATGGTCCAGTAGTTCTGCAGACACTGCAGCTCCTTCTTCATGCCCCTCTTGCAGCGGCAGTCGTACAGAGGACTAACCAGCAGCACCTCCAATGCAGCTTGGCACTCCCTGTTTTTGTCCAGCATGGCCTCCTTCTCCTTGCCCACGAGACACTGGCGCATCACCCGGTACCGAGAGCTGCAGTAAGGGTTCTGGTTGCACATGTCACTGGCCTGGATGCAGTCCACCCACTCTGGCTGAGCTCCGGGTCCAGACCCAGTGGCCGGAGATCCTGGAGAATCATTGGCCACCAGAACGGACAAAGCTGAGGTACCATCCCAGGAGCTGGCCTTATCTATAGGGACGGGAGGACAGAGATGGGGGTGACAAGAGACAATTAGGCTTAGAAATTGCGAGTGAAAGGGTGGGAGATGTTGTGTGGCCGTATGTAACACAAGGGCAAACACATATCTCAAACCTGCTTTCAATTCATTTTTTCACGTGGAGCATTTAAACAGGTTAGATGACATGCCCATACCTGCTACGGGGTCTTTTAGAAAAGCAGTTTAAATTCTTTGTTGTTCACATTTGACTCAGACATCTCTACATGGGTTCTGTTTATGTCTCGATGAATTAGCCGTATCCTTCATCTAAAGCTTGCAAATAAAGTTAGGCATCGGCATACGATTTTCTTATTAAACATAATGAAAAGAAGACTCGATCAGTGGTTTGTCAAATTATCTCACCTAAGAAAATGATTGAGCTACACTTGATTCACACGGAAAAGTGCGGCTTGCAATGAGTAAACTGTTTGTGTGCCGCTTTTTGACGGGAGTCCACATTCAGATGCGCCCTGACGCCAAAGAGGGAGACGGTTCTGGTGAAATGACAAGAGAGACCCCGTGTGGAGATGTTGAGCATTGGGCTCAAAGAGGAGCGATTCCGCATCCACGACTGAGAGCAGAAGAGTAACATGAAGTTGAAATCACTACGGGGACTTTATCTGCAGCACTGTCGTATCGCATGTGAACGACACTTACAATGGTGCCTCTGTGGTTGATGAAGATTGTGGTGATGGTGATGATAATGATGTTGGTGATGGAATTTCTCATCATGAACCAATTATGTGACTGAAATTAGCTCAGATATTTTCATTTTACTGACTAAATAATATAAGATAATTAGGCATTCTTAATATGGAAGAGTTGGGTATTGAACGGATGCAATACAAGTGATGTGCTCATATTCACCAACTTCGGTTTGCAATGCGTAACAGTTAAACACAATCCGGTTATAACATGAACGCCCATCGGCATTTTACCACAAATAATCATAACGTGTCCTCAAACCTGGATGAGAGAAGTGCATAGCATAAAATTCCTCTTGGTCATAATTACTGACGTCAAAATAAATCTCTACAATACAAACAAATTCTCACAAAAAATCTTTTTTCTATATTTCACTTCTCACCTAAGAGCAGGAGAAGGACGTGCGCGCACATCCACACAGTAATAGACTTCATATTGGCCTCAGCAGGGTAGAGAGATGAATTAGGGTCCAATACCACTAATATTTCCACCTTCCGAAAGGGTTAACTCCCCTTCCCGGATCCTTGAGCAAGGCTTATACTAACTGCAAACCAAAAAAAAAGATGTATATCCTCATTCAAGGTGCACTTCTGAAAAATCCTTTTTCGCCCAATAATAATCCACGATTTTGTGAGAGAATTTTCAAATGGCTGACTCAGAACAATCCTCTGACGTTGAAGAAGATAAAGAAAAAAATCAAATCAATCAAGTCAATCCATGAAAGCCGATTCTCAGGGTCCGTCTGCGCTGCGTTCATACCGACAAACTACCGAGACTTGATCTCTCCGCATTATAAAAGGCTCAAGCACAGCGCGCGCGCTCCGACTGCCCCGCAGTGACAACTTCTCCCTAAAACATCCCTCAAACTGCCGCGAAACGATCTGTCAAGTGTGCCCGTATCTCTGACAAGGTGGGAGAACTCATGTGAAAGTGACCAACGAGTCGGTGGGCGGATTTGTTTTTCTCCCCTTCGCCGGGATCCCCGTGGAAGCCGCGCGCTCCTCTGGAGGGAGTGGACGCTCCTTTCGCACTGACTGCGCGTGTCGAGGCTTCGCGGCACTTTATACACCAGGAGCCCCCGTGGGCCAGCAGGGGGCGCTGCGGGGGGCGGAGAGAGGGGGGTGGACTTCCATTGGGGCAAACGTGCTGCTCGGTCACATCGAGGACCGTCAATTCAATTTTATTTTCAATAGCGCAGCAGATGCATCACGATATTCCCGTAATTTCCATGAATGTGTCACTCGGCAGTGGGATTAAAACTATGTGGCATTTCCTGCCCAACGGGGATAATGCAACGAGTTTCTATAGGCCTACGTAACAGGGTTTTTTGTTTTGTGTATAATATCCTTCTCACAAGCATTTTTGTATCTTCCATAAGTCTAGTCTTTATAGTTTTGCCAAGAAAGATAAAACCAAAACTGCAAAACAACAACAAAGAACTTAATAATAAATATATAATAAATCATGTGTGTTTGCTTCTGCCACTCATATAACTGCTTTACATGATTCAGCAATGCATGTACATATACTTGCATCCAGTTGACATTAGAGTTTCATATACGTACAACTCACAAAAATCTGCAAATTCATTTTGGGGACTGGTTTCAAAGGTGGACTAAACAGCAATGATGAAAATGTCAACATTCATTTCAGCAAAACCCCAACACTTCATGAGACATCTGTGATTCCATTGATTGAAAGATTAAAAATGGGCACAATGCCTTGTATTATGTCTGTGCTCCGAGGAAATAAACCCACAACCTTCACAATCTGCCATTTTTCAAAGTGGCTATGCATTAAACAAAATGACTTTGTTGTGCACTAGCGCTTAAATAGTGCCCAGAATGTCATAAATCTTTACAAATCTTGAAAACAAACTCTCCATTTAGGGGGACTGACAGTGACAAACTGCAAGGCCGCTGGCTCATAATGACGTTTGACTGTCAGCCCGGGCTCCCATCCAAGAGGGAAAAGAGCATGACGCTATAATGGCAAAATCAGCCTCATTCTGCCTATATTGGCCGGGGCTCGTTCTCGTCTCCACACAGATTTTGAAGTCCCTGTCACTATGAGGACACTAAAAAGCATCATTGTCCACCGTGTGTTCATCCGGCATCTGTCTCGCATTGATGCCGCAGTGACTGATGCAGCCAGTTTGTTAATTCTTTGCACATATTAATATTTTTACTACTATTTCCAAGAAGAATCATTTTCGTTGTTGTTGTTGGGCAGATAATAAGTTGTTTCTCACTGAGGAGCAGTTGTATGAACTATATGAACAGTGTGTATATTAACAGTTTGAGCCGTATGCTCAAGGAGACATTTCTTAGAACAAGCATGAAAAGAGAAAAGAAACATGAGCTGCAAACACAGTGAATAAAACAGCGACAATTCCGTGATTGTTGATAAGGAGAAATGATATGCACATTTCCTTTCTTGAGTCAGGCATATTCATCCAGCCACATTACTCTTGTTGACATTGGACGGTTTACTCCCTCCACCAGTATTTAATTTCATTTGGACTTCATTAAGCATTTTTTTTACGTATTTGTCATCCCTGTTAGGTGGGGATTTAAAATCCAATAATTAAAATCTAATTTTAAATAAATAGGAAATAAAATTTTCCAACAACGCCACCTAGTTTGGGGAGTCTAGGTTCCCATAAAAAAAGGGTCTTTTGTAGAACAGAATGGATCACAAAGACATACATTTGAGGGTAAAAGATGCTCTTATTAGAAACTAAAACCAATGCATTATTATAAAATAACTACAATTATATTTTTGTTTAGTCTAGCTAAAAAAACGATCTACTAAAAAATGTAAAAGAGTTCGACACCAAGTAAAAAGGCCACTGGGAGGGTTTGTCAGGGTCCAGCTGGTTTGTCCTGGGCTCTTCCAACCTTTATGGACACTGTGGTTCTTCTCCTGCTGTGCTTCCTGCCACCGTTCGTCCCTGCTTGTGCGTCCCTGCTTGTGCGTCCCTGCTTGTGCGTCCCTGCTCGTCCTCTGGCCTCCTCGTTTCCTGTCTGTGATAATTGGGAGGGAGGGGAGGTCGTGTCCTCCTGCGACGCGGTTGACCAGTTCCTTACTGCCGAGGCTCCCGATTGGTCCCTGTAAATTAAGTGAGCCTCTCCAGGTGCAGGAGATGAGTGATTGGAATATACTTAAATGAGGTTTAAAACATACGGTTGGTAAAATAGTAAGTTAGAAAAATAAATTAATTAATTAATTAAACTAACCATGCTAAACATATATAAAAACAATGATTCACAGCAACAACCCAATCTACGCAGTGACATGGCCTGATCTCCTCCTGATGACATGTTCAATTAGTGAAAGCTCAGAGAGAAGAACACACACGTGCATACCTTTCATAAATAAGCAGATCCTTGTGTGTGTTTGCAGACACACACACACACACACACACAGATGCACATAATCTGTATGTCAGATAGCTGCACGCCCACTTGATGGCTCAGGCTCGTGAAGATAGGGGATGACAAATCTGGCTATTGAGGACATTGTTTTCAGAATAGAACGTGCCGGGCTGTGAGATGTTTGTCTAATGCCGTCAACATAGATGATGCTATTTTAAATTCATGGGGTATGAAATAACAATACAGAAAGCAGTCAATGTTGTGGTGAGTGGGCTTATACAAACTGTAAAAGGTTAAATAAGAGATAGAACGTCTCAGTCAGTCACCTTAAACACAGAAAGGACAAACCCGCATACAAATGTTACATGTAAGTTTTATTACAGCGTCTATAAGTGGCTTCACAAGTGTTTTCAGAATGGCTGATTGGTGCGCTTGCCTTTTATTCAACTACAATGTTAAATATCTAGCAGAACACAATTAATGCCCCATTGATCCTCATGCTTATTGTCCCACCCAATTACACCTTGAATCAAAGGGGTGTTTGGCACCATTAAAACAGGGTTGGCTTCTACTCAAAGATTTGTGGAAACTAAATTTAGCTTGAGATTTGTCTGGGGGGCAAAGGTCGCTGCATCTCTCTCTACTCGTCGCATAGACTAATAATGAACTGATGCATGCACACACACGCACGCACGCAACCACGCGGCGGTTCAACATGACTGACTAGATTAGGAATTATGGACTAATTAATGTGTATCTTGGGAGACCTGTACAGCATGCTTATTAGGAGACACAACCCGAGTTGAGCAAGGACCATGACAAAACATTATAGGTGTTAATTCCCAGAATTAAATGAATTACATTAAATCCAAAAACAAAAAAGTAGTGCACTACCTGTTTTATTTAGTTCAGTGTAAGATAAGCTAAAGATGAAACCTCTGCCTCGGTGCACTGTACAGTCATGCATTATTGAAGGTTAGGACTTGCTATTACAAAATATTTTCTAAACCTACCCACTGACACGCTTGACTGAAAGTCTGCTCTGGAATATATAAAAAGGCAGAGAAAAAAATATTCATGAAGGTTGTAATATTTTGGAAACGTCTCAGCTTTCACCCGGCCATTAGTGCCTGTATCAGGTTTACAGCCCAAAGTTTAAATAATCTGTTCAAATCCATACAAGAGGGAAATAAACATCAGCAGGGTCAAGCGTGGAGACGGTGCAGTGACCACTGCGTCTCTGCTTCACATTCACATAGAGTCTGCATGCTTCACTCTGTCCTGTTTTGCTCACACACTGGCACGTTTTAACAGAACAAAACAAGAAACCGTTCCCATTCGCTGGCAGGGTCCTTCATGTCATTGTTTGTGTGTGTGTCAACTTTGTTTTGGGTTTTGTGGAGCGTTTGAACGGCACTACATTTCTGATGTGACCTCTGCTAGACTCTCTGGAAGCTATCGACCAGCTAGATCCATTTGTTTTCCAGGCATCTCAGAGATGTCCATTTCTATCACATTACTTTGACAGAAATTGAATTTCCTCTGATGCATTTTTATGTATCCTAAGTGCTGTTCTGTTCTCATGGGGAGTATAGCGTTTCCAGTGGCGTGATGATGCAAAAACACTTGGGTATTAGACAGAAAAAAGAGGAAATTGATTTTATTTCAATGTGTGAATTTACTGAAATGCTTTGTTTTGTTTATTCAAAATGTTTTTCAAGTGATTTCTTATTTCTTCCAAGTAAGCGCCACCCACATAGGCGTCTAGTCATTGACTGTTGTTTCAAAAATCTTACAAGAGCACAGAACCCATAATCAGTTTGCTGATGCCACTTTGCTTTCTGTCTTGTTGGTCTACAGACAATTGCTGTCTTTTAGGTACAAACAAATAGTACGACCCTCAGTGTATCCCGGCACTCATTTCTTTTACAGTTCAGGAATGTTACATACCATGACACCAACAGAGACGATCACCTTCTGTGGATAAAGTCCTCAGAGGCAGATTTTTGATTCTGGGCGCTCCAAAATGAATTGTATGGGTCACTGGTTAAGTTTCAGGAATTCGCAAGAGTTGCTAACAGCGGCCGATCTAGCCCATCCTGTTGAACACGCCGTGGGTCCCATATGGGACGTTGACAGGGACCTCTGCTCGTCCCAACTCAGTGAAGGTCTTCGCATCCAGGACAAGTAGGAAAGTACTTTTTTCCTGGAAACAAACGGTGTAGTAAACAAAAACAATTAATATGACATTAATACTCCTCACTAAAGAATGTATGTGTGATCACTTTAAAAGCTCTGCTTATGTATTACAGCGTAGGAAAATATTAAAGAAAATAAAGCCTGTAGCTGTTTTTAAACCGCGTTTTTGTTGATTTTTAAATTGACTTACTTCTCTAGGCGTGATGATGACTGACAAGATCACTCCATCATCTTCCTCAGTAGCTCCGGGCAACGCAACAAAGACAGGCTCGGACGGATACAAGCCGGGATAACGCCACACCTAGACAGGGAAGATTACATTTACATCCCCTTCACTCCAGGCCGCTTCATGTCCTAAAACCTTCTCCACACCTCCTGCCCTCGGGGATAGAGAAGCCGCAGTTGAAATAACTTTGATGCTAACATTTAACAATGAGGTCTCTGAGTGGTGTCTGATTAACGGAGACCTTGAGCTCCTTGGTGTGGACGTCCATTTTGAGCAGGGAGTCACCGAAGACATGTCCAAAGCCGCAGGAGTAGAAGTAGCGGTAGGCTCTGCCGTTGTGCTGGTCGTAGTTGATCTGAGGGAACTCAAGGCCGCCGTATTGCAGCAGCTCATCGTCGTAGAGCTCCTCGTGGGTCATGTAAACCTGGTGGGTCACAGGCAAAGTGAAGATTCTGCTTTCAGTGAAACTTATATATATTATAACATATTTCTGGCAAAGAAAAATGGCCTGACGCTGCACGCCAACCCGACCTGCTTCACGGTACATCATCAAGAGCTGAAATCCCTCCTGCATCCATCTCTTAAACCTGTAAATGGATTCCTGCATCCTCCAACCTGAGCTATGAATAAATTAGTTTCTTTACATTGTATATTGGATGTCAATTGACCTCCTAATGCAATTACAAACCCACAAAATGGCCGCCTGCAGCACTTTCATAGCTGTTTTTTAACCATTACTGGTTCATAGCACCACCAAGAACTGAGGACAGTGTAGTTATGACAACTAAAACATCACATTTGCTTTCAACATCCCAGCTTTATTCTGCCATAAGAAAATATTGCACTCTGTGTGTGTGTGTGTGTGTGTGTGTGTGTGTGAGAGCCTTAGACAAGCTAAATGGCAATCATCACGCTGCATGATGGACTTTTGAACTTTCATGTAGTATATCAGGAAATTACTATCTTGCAGGAAGTATCTCCAGTGTCTCATCATGTCCTGCAATTACACAGTGTGTGGGAGTGAATTCACTCTGTTGACGATTCTAGGTCTCAATTTTTACTTAATTCCAGGAAAACCAGAGTGAATGTAATGCCCAACGTACAACATCGTTAACTGTTCTTTGTTAAATCATACCTCTTGTGGTTTGGTCTTTTTTGCTGTGGCTTTATAGTTGCTCAAAGTGACGAGGTTTTGGTCCAAAGGAGTTTGTCCGTCCACAGTCAGGGGTAGAACATATCTCCTTGGGAGGTTCCTGCACATCGAGTTGTAAAACTGCAGAATAAAATCAGACGGACATGAAAAGCTGAGTGCGTGAGTCCTTTGACTCAAAGGTGCAATGGACCTCAAGGACAACCGGATCTGAAAACAGATTACATCCTTCTTTCTCTATTAAATTGTTGGTCATATCAGTTTGAGTTCTTGAATATTTTGATTCGAGGAAAGAACTTCAATCATTTGGAATTGTAGAGATTTCAAAAGTTCATTGCACTAAAAATGTTGATATATGAATGACTTGACAAAGTAAAAGTAAAAATAAGAGCAGAGAGAGACAGCGAGAGATTGATGAAAAAAAGATGGACCATATTGAACACTCAGTGGATGGATGACTTAACTGTAATGTCAAGAAAACAACTAACACATGAACTAAAAAGTACAGTTAAAATCATTTTGAAAAAGCCAGAACCGCAATCTAAGCGGCTAACCGATGAAGATTGTCAGGCCTTTCCAATTATGTGTGCATGTTTGATTGTGATTCAGAGTGAAACCGTATGAATTAACCTTGTCCATTTCCTCTCCTGAGCCTCTACGGAGGTTCTCCAGGGTAAAGTCTCCAATGACATCCCCATCGTCCCCACAGCACATGTCCATCACCAAGAGGCCGTTGTCCTCAAAAGCATTGATCTGATGCAGCGTGAACATGGGTGCTGCGCGGTACTGCACTTCGCTCACCTGTTGGCCCAGTCAAAGTAAGCAATCAGGAACATATTAAAAGCGCGGTAAAGGATTGTAAAGAATTTTGAAAAAACAGCTTCTGTGCTGGTTTTAATATTTGTTACTGTGGTCTACCTTCACATTTTGAAGGTTTAATATGGAACGCGTAATGGGTATGCCGTGTAATGACTTGAGGAAATTGAGAGAAACAGTGGCGGAGAATAAGGCTCTGCCATCAGTGTGTGATTTCATCAAAATAAATAGGAGGAAAGCTCCACCGAGCGTGAAGAGATTTGCTGGCAGCTTCCTTTTTTTTTTCCAGACAATTCAGCAAACGGTGCATTTCCTACTTAGCATTTTCAGTGTCTGCTGTTGTGCAATACGCTAACCCACCTGGCCAGTGTGCCTGTTGACCAAGTGGAAGATGGTGTCATACTGAGGCTCCCAGGTCATGACTTTGTGGAAGCTCTTTCCCAGGATTGTGTACAGCATGAACTTCAGCAGGTCCAGCTTGATCGGCTGCTCAATGAATACAATGTAATTCTCTGACATGACTGGAGAGAGTGGGCAAGCCCGGGAGGGAATGCGTGAATGAAAGGAAAACACATACACATCGTGATGTTTAACTTCAACAACATCAGTGAAAGGTTGATTCTGCGGACTATTTTCATGACATTTGAGTTCACCATTTGGTGCTGGGGTTTTGTTTCCAGACACACATAATCGACCACGTTTGGCCTCATGTTGTTAAATTAACGCAGTGACAGATTTTACAAAAACGTGCGGGTCTATGGAACCTTTTTTCGCAGGAGGAAAATCACTATTTGGCTTTTGGCCGGTCAGTGTGCGAGATAAAACTTTTTTTGCCGCAGTTTGAACCTTTGAGACAAAGATATTGTGCTAGCAGACATCCAATTAGTGCTAAACATAAAAGCATAATCCTGCATCTACTACAACTATGCTGACAGCAGTAATTATGTGGTGCCTTGTATAAACATATAAACTCTTCCCACACTTTCTTGGTGCTCACACAGATTTTTGGTGCCAGACAGTCTGGCAGAGCAAGGGTGGTCTGCCGAAAATATGGACCAAGATACTATGAGGGAACTGTTGCACTGCAATAATCAATTAGAACAACATTGTTGTAGATCGGGCAGAGCGACATAATTGTGCTTGCATTAGCTGATTGGCATCGGCTTGATGCGTCACTATCAGTGAGTTCTTCATTAATTACTTGACTATCAGTAGCATCCAATCATATTCATGGGGATGCACCACAGTGTGTGGCCATTGTAGCCTGACTTTTATCCTTATTGCTCTTGATAAACGAAGGCAGAATTAAAGTATAAAATAAGGGATGTTCCTGTTGGGTTTCCTTAAGAGCAGAGAATATCTGTCCAACAGTTTAACTTGGACACGAATCAGCAAAAGCTGATTGACAAAAAACACTATTACATAAATCTTATGTTGGTATGTTGGTAACAGTCTTCTAGGCTCAGAGAGAACTACATTACTGAACTGAGATGGAGGTTTTTTTTTCTGGGACACAGTGTAAGAGAGAGTGTGTGTACACACACACACACACACACAGAGATAGATACTGAAAGCTGAATTGAAAGACAAAAGGAGCCGTGATTGTGAAAAAAAAAGAAGCAGGGCGAGACTAGAATTCAAATGAGTAATTAGTAAGCAAGGATATAATGTGATGTCAGTGCAGCCAAGAAAACTATCACAACTCATCGAGTAAATCGAGTATGCAAACAGATTTCAGAAATTGTTTTTTAAACTGTGGAGGGAACCTCACCAAAGCTGTGATAGTAGGACGGTTTTCTGGGTTCAGAAGCAGGGATTGAGCAGATCACGCTGGCTCCAGTGAGGTCTGCAGAGTCCTCAACTGCTGCCTTCTCCTCAGGAGGAGGCACGCGAATGATATTGTAGAAGAAACCTGGATGAGGCCGCAAAAAAAAAAAATGAAAATTACCTATAGAATTTTTAAACGCTGGATACCATAAGGATAAATTCATAAATATATGTTGTAGTGGGCAAACAGGTGGGAAGAAAAGAGCGATGCAAAAACAAACAATGTTACCGCTTTTTCCGTAGGAGTTGCCCATGTTGTACGTGGCTCCCTCCCGGTCATAGTGTGGGTGAGCTGTGGCTGAGTTGACAGCAATGTATTTACTCCAGTCCACCTAATAAGAAGAGCAGGAGTCTTTTCCCTCCGACTCTGTCTCAACATCCGCATGCAAAAGTGACAATTGTATTAGATGCACTGATATTAGTACATTACTCACCTTCTCCTTTGTCTCCAGGCTCTGTGGATCGACTCGCCTCATGTAGTTGGTTTCTGTGCTGACATAATAGTCTCCCTTGTACTTGACAAAGTTCACGCTGGCGTTATCTGTGGCCTCTGTTCACACGTACAGATGTCAGGAACACATATTAAACATTTCAGTTAAATACATCTTTTTGAGAGATATGACCGGAAAATACTTCCATCAGTATTGGTCAAATACGGACATCAGTTTCTACTGCCTTACTTTTTCAGAAGCGTTACATCATGTTTCAGAATGATCACAAGCAAATACACACCAACACTTTTTCATTCACGCACACACAAACTATTTGACTTGCATTCCCTTCACCTCAATAAAAACACAATATGTTGTCACGCTAGCTCTCAAACCGCACAAACAATAAGAAATAAACTACATGAAGTTTAAAAAATACTGTATTTGGTTGACTTTAGTATTTTGGCTGAAGTGACCTAGCAAAACTGTTGTGCCAAAATTCATCATCCAAAAAATGGATTGAATACTTTAATACGTGCATTTTGTACGGCTGGTGCTGCATAACAATGCTTCCAAGTGGATTATACATGGGAACAGGCACTTTATTTTGTTAAATCTTTCTGCTATTGTTTAATTATTTTATTATCGGCCTATCCTAGCTCTCTTTATAGAGAGGACAAACTTACTAGGAACCTGAAAGCGCGAAAAGAAACGCTGAAAGATGTTCTTGCAGGGATCCGGCATGGCAATTGTGCCAAACTCTGACACCACGATGCGGTTCTTCTCCGAGTTGGAGACATATGAGTCACTTCTGAGGAATCGGCTACTGTAGGTGACATTGCCCTCACAGATGTGGAACCGGTGCATCAGGGCCATTCCGTCAAACCAGTGGGTGTAACTAAGAAAACAAAGACAAGTGATTTGTAACGGGTGTATTTGTGTAATATACACTGGTCTTTCCCAAATCACTATTTTTGACAACAGATATTTTAACTTAATGTGCTAGAAGACCTGGCAATAAACTTGGGATTGATAGCAGATTTCAATCTTGCTCTTTTATTGCCTTTTGTTAGTACACCGTGTTGCCAATAAAGACCCCTTTGGTTTAAATCATTTTTATAAGTTGTTAAATGACACAGTATTTCTTAAATACCTGTCTTTTCCAAACTCAAACTTCCCAGGACCATTTCTCAGGAAGCTCCCATTGATCCAGGCTGGGATGGTTCCTTGGATGGTGGTGGGGACGGGATCGGGGGTTTCCTCCACAGAACGCACCAAAGCCTCTATGTTCTCCAGCTCCTTGGCCTTCGGACATCGCTGCCTGCTGGACACTGACGAGAGGAGAGGAGAGCTACTGTATGTCTGATCTCCATATGCTGTGAAAGGGCATTCAGATAGAGTTGAGGGGAAATAACATGCGGTACTTAAACAACAGCGGAACTCTCTCTCTCTCTCTCTCTCTCTCTCTCACTGTCTCTCTCTCTTTCTCACACACACACAAACATGCTGGTTTATCACCTTTCGCATTAGTGGGTGTGGTGGTGTGAACCACTTTGTACTTTGAAGTGTGAAAATGATGTAAGTGTGCGTCTATGCTACAGAAAAACACTTAATATTCACCTTTGCAAGCTGCCTTGCGAGATGTACTTACATCAAATCATTTTATAATAAGAGAACCTCCAGCATCTTTAACTTTTTACTTCAGTTATAATATATTTATTTTGGCCACAAATGTGTTCTAAAATTCAGTAGTGAATACCTTCACAACTTTGCACCTTTGCTGCTGTATTTTTAGCAATAAACACTCAAGAAGATAATTAAACAACTAACTGTGTTTTAGTGGGGAAACATGATCTCTTCTGTGGAGACCTGATGACTCCCTGTGATCGTGCACTTTCAATGACACCAACACTATCCACTGTCTTATCTATTATCCAATATTCAATTATTGTTTATCACCTCATATCGTAGCGAAGATTGTAAAGTTCGGAATTAGCTTTGTTCATATGAGAGTTCTGTGATTATAAAAAGCAAAGCATTGCGGTTCAACGCGAAGCAACATGCTGTGCCGAGGTTACAACATCAGGGTTTTTTGACTGCGTGAATTGTTATGGCGACCAATCAGCAGAACCAGAATTTGTTTCATTCCCGCGACCCTACTACCGCAGACAATAAAAAGGGAATGGAGAGATTCCCGCTGTAGGCTTGAACAATCCCTCACAATGTGGAGTTAGCGAATTTTGATTGTGATATTGCAGCATTGCAAATTAAGCCTGACTGTGGGCTGTTATTTCCCCGGTGGGGGCCGGGGGAGGGGTGGTATGTAACTTTCCCATCGCTGCATTTAAAATCGAGTCTTGAAAACTAAACAGCGACAATTTTGAGACCGGAACTGTTGTGGATAATAGATTCAGGTGTTTTTGTGTAATCACAGATCACAATTGCAACAGCAGTTGTATAAAAGCCATTACAGCACCAACAATGTTTCAGTGTTCAAAAAAAGCACAACTTTCTTAAATTCTGTTCTTTTCGTTTTTATTATGGACCTGACAGCATTTTGCCTTTTAGTAGTTAACAGCTGACAATGAATAAAAGCTTTTAATTAGACATTCTCTCACCAGCCGTGAGTCAACAGGAGACCTTGGAGCAGAGACAACGGAACACACTAAGACTGCAGTTGTGATTTTGAAATGCAAGGAAAAAACATTAAGACCGAACCTCATACAGCATGTCTTGGTTAAAAGAAAGGATGTTATATTAAATACTATTGTTATTGTCCACCCTTAAAAAGGGATGAAGTTAATGGCTGCGCTTTATTACATGTCGATTCAGTCATGCTCTTCCGCATTAATCAATGATAATAAAAAACAGCCTCTTGTAGAGGCGGATCAGAGTGTGGTTTCATGAAGAAGTAGAACAAAGTCAACTAGATACTATATTATGACTTCATTCTAAATTATAATAGTACTGTTAAATTATTTGACAAGCAAAAGGTTTGACTCTGTTGAGAACAAGTAGCAGTTTGTGGTTATTTTCTAAATATTCCAAATACAACAAACCAAATGTCTTCTTTTACCTCACCTTCATATTTAGAAAAATGAATTTAGTGAATAAATTAAATTAGTCACAACTGACACGAGTGAAAGTGACGTCTACTCACTGCTGTTCGTCTGGTGCTCTGCGGTCTTGGACATGGCCGGTCGTTCTGCACATGTGATCAGACAAATAGGATATTTATACAAGGCCAGCAGGATAACCTTTGAAACATTGGTTCCTTGCCAGGATGAGAAAGCAATCTCAGGCACAAAGCAACGGTAGGGTGCAGTGTTAACTACCATTAAACCAGTAATAAAAGTGACAAGAACCGCGGTCTCCAAGGCTTCGTGATGTAGATCTCTGGTTGTGTAATGTGACACAATACATTTGTTTTATATATATATATATGTGTGTGTGTGTATATGTGTTTCCTTCCTACTTCACATTGCAGAAGTGCAAAATACTTTTTTCAAATCACTGAACCAAATACAAAGGTCAACATCAAGTCATTATTATTAGTAGTAGTAATAGTAGAAATGTTGTCAATAGTTATATACATTGATATAACCTGCCTGTTTGCTGCTTGTATCTAATCGCATCGTACATTTATTACCACAGATTTTTCATGCAAAACCTGTTACAGGAGTATCTTCAGCAGTGTAGTCTAAATGTGTTCCTTTGACTGATTAAAAGAAACTTTACAAAAGACCACACAAAATATACAATAGGTTTTGAGGGTTTTTTGATAATTGGCAGTCCAGGATTCTGTCGCCGTGGTTCATCCTGACGGGCACTGTTTGAAGTTCTAGAACATCGCATGCTGTCCCATCTTTGCCAGCAGGCCTCTCAGATCTGAAACAGACTAATTCTTCACATCTGTGTCTATCAGTGTGAGGCATGAATTAATGAAGATATAATAACTGTTTACAAGACGGTTTATAAATCAGATGAAATTAGAAACATTTGTAATATTTTGTTAAATACTTTATGTGAGGTTTCAGGCTACAGACATAGTAGAGTTAATGATAATCTTTAACACAGAATGTTAATAATTTGTGCATAATAGACATGGATTTAAAGTCAAATACACACAACATTCAAGCACTAAGCAGTTCCTTTTGCATTATATGTGGTGAGACAGGCGGCACCCAGCCCCACTACTCTCCTACGCAACGTGTATGAAATGGAAACCTGGCAAGTACGCACAAGATCTGCAGAAAAACCAGTTGGGTAATGATGTTTCAACTAAATGAGTAGTTCACAAGATGTTAAGCCAAATATATTAGTAAGCACTGTAGTATAACCGCCAATCTAAATGAAATAAACACACGTGCTAATAATTGGAAGTGAAGGCATGGACATAATCTGTTGACGTCAGGAAAGATGACAGTGAAAGCAAATCGGCAACAGACGGCCGATGTTTGGATTTACTTCACCCCTACAGCTCAAAACACAAATGCTTGTGGCAAATAAGACAGCCGCTGGAAAATGCAGCTGTCGATTTTCAAAAGAAAACCGCTTAACAATAGTGACATGAGTGGGCTCAGAATGGACTGAACTGTTAGCCACAAAAGACCCATGCACACTGTGCGCAGGCATGCTACAGTGGTAGTATTATTGAAAACAACGAGGAATATAAGGGGAAAAAGTTAAAAGCCACAAGGCCGACTGAAGTCAACAGCAGCTTCTTGCCATAATAATATTTATTGCAATTTCCTTCTCCTTTACTGGAGTAAAGGAAATGGCGATGGCCAAATACAGCGATTATCTTCATCCAACGTTCAGCTGCTTTTCTGTCAGGCTGAAGTGGATGTTATGAAACCGTACGGGTCGCTCAGTCCATGACGTGTTCTGCTTTGCTGAGCCATGAAGCTGCATCTAACTGAACATAAACATAGTCCAGTTCTAGGGAACAGATTTAGGAGATTAGAGGTTTTGAACTCCAAATGAAGGGTGAGGAATATTTCAGGCCAGATTGAGATTTTTTTAACTAAAATCTATTTTAATCAGTAATGTAATTATATTTATACAGAACACACCTCCGTTAATTATCTTAAGTCATCTGCCCAATAAAAGAAATAATGAATGCACAGAGTTTAATCAGAAAATGTGAGAGGGAGTCATCTCTTCTGGACACCGCCAGAACACGTTGATTTTACATATTTCAGGAGTAATTATGATTAACCTGAAATGAATTGTATATCCCAGCTGTGGGGAAACTCACAAGTAGGACAGAGATGCTTCCACACACACACACGCGACGACATTTAGACACACATTACACACACAAATGCCCCCACGAACCATCCTTGTCTGGGCTTGTTTTAGTTGCTGCAGTTGACTTTTAAGTGTGGTTTGTTTCTGAAGTATTTCCTTCAATCTATAAACTACCTCTAAACAAACATTGATTTTGAGAAACTTTTCTTGCAGCTCTAATGAAAGTAGCTAAATGTAGCATTTAGTTTTGTCTTCTTTTTTTTTTTTTTTAATTCAACTTAGTTTTGTGTTTAAACAGACAAATTGTTCCATCTAGTGGTGAATTGAGGAACTAACCAGTTCACGATCAAAGAGTTCAGTCTGCTGTCAGAAGATGTCCAATAAAAACATTTTTAAAAACTGAAATGCTTTGTATTACACCACAACAGTTCTCTAGCTCCTGGAACTCCCTCAACAACGTCTGGCCGAAACAACCTGATTCTGTCAAAGCGGAGTACTTCATCATCTTTTCTTCTTACTCCACCTGTTTACTGCACCTAACCTTTATGTGCCGTTTCCATGTCACCCAAACATCCGAGTCATACAATTTGTCTCACTGGCACTGCAGAATTTACTCTATGATATTTTTTGCGGTGACACCATCTGCTCCTCCCTGTCCTGGTTATTTATTATAGTAATGCCCGTGAACTTGATTTTTGTTTTACATTTCGCAGAAAACAGGTCAATACCAGTAATCCAGATGTTGGCTTCCCATGCTGTTATGCAAGGGTTTAATTCCAGGTTTCAGGAAAACGCTTTTGTCATTGAAAAGAGACACGGTGAGTACAAAAACTGAATATGATGCAAAGGTTGTGTTGCCAACATTCACTGACATCCACATCCATATGGATGTATACGGACAAAGCCATGTGAATAGACACATGCTCTAGACACTCGCTCTAGGTCTGCTCAACATGAAGGTCATGGGAAATGTTCCAGAAAAAGCACCTGTGTATTTCATCAGTCACCCAGCTGCTCTGATCCTCACTGACATTGGTCCTCCTCCATCCCTCGATGCCACGACAAACCAATAGCAGCGTGTGTTGCCACATTCGGCCTGGGTGTTACCTGGGGTGGAAAGTTTAAAAGAGAAAATTTCTCCTGCTGTGCCTCAGCGGAAGCATCAATCAACATGATCCCCATTGTGCTGGCCTCAGTGCTCATTGCTAGCGGTAAGAACATCTGGCCTTCTCTAATTCTGTCTGTCATTCTTTCTGTATGGTTGTAAGTTAGCATGAGTGAGTGAGTGAGGATTTGAGCCAATTACCACACAGGAAGCAAGCAATTCTGTACTGAAAAGAAAAATGATGCTGTTTGTGCCTCATCTGAGATTAAAAAGTAATTGCATTGTTCTCGCACGTCATGAACACTGTTTCTCATCTCAGCCCTTGGGTGTGGCACCCCACCCATCCAGCCCTTGACCCCCCGTGTGGTTAACGGAGTGGATGCCAAGCCCCACAGCTGGCCCTGGCAGGTATGTTAATATCTACACATCTGTCAATTCTTTGAGATTTATGGGCAACCCTTTTAGGGTTTGGCAGACCCAATAAATTCTGTAATAAATCTCAGTCAGAAAACTGAATCCTTTACATCCGCAGCCTGCCTCTCACCGCAGCCTTTGTGTTGTCCTATTTTGTGTGCAGATCTCTCTGCAGTATGAGAAAGACGGTGAGTGGAGGCACACATGTGGGGGATCTCTGATTGCTGCCAACTGGGTCATGACTGCTGCTCACTGCATCAAGTAGGAACAGCAGAGGAACACAGAAACATGAAAAAACAGAAACGCCAATGCTGATCACTACAAGCCACATACTCACCGACTAAATACTCTGTTAAATACTGTACTTATTGTGTTCGTACTAGCCCTCCTTAACCTTAAGAAATGAGGCACAGAAGTCCTCAAATCCAAACCTTGTTCTCTCCCTCAGCGCCAAGCTCTCCTACAGGGTGTTTGTGGGAAAATACAACCTGGTGGAGGAAGAGGCCGGCTCCAAAGCCATCCTGCCCGAGAAGATTGTTGTCCACGAGAAATGGAACCAGATCTTCGTGGCCTTTGGGTGAGACCAGCGCCACGTGGCGTGCAAAGCGCAGACTGGGTAGCTCGCTGCATCGTGCAGCGCGTCGTACTCTCATTCATTTAATGTTGTGCCGACAAAGTGGGCAGAGGCTCAAACACCATTTATTCCCTTATCATCTTTCGCTGACCAGAATAAAAAGTGTATGACTACTTATACAAGAGTGGACCACTTTAACCGTATGAGTGTACTCAAGCATGCAGCTGGACTTGTGGACTTGTTCCACAGCATGACGTTTTAAGAAAATGAGGTTAGCCCTTGAGTTGATTTATTTGAATGTACAGAAACAATTACTCTCTCCATCTTTATGTCTGCCTTGCAGAAACGATATTGCCCTGATCAAGCTGTCAGAGTCGGTGAATTTGAGCGACCAGGTGCAGCTGGCATGTATCCCTGCTGCTGGCACCGTGCTGCCCAACCTCTACCCCTGCTACATCACCGGATGGGGCAGGCTCTACAGTAAGTCACTGTTGGTGGGTTTAGTAAGCGTGATCTCGGTTACACGTGGAAAACTTTGGGGGAAAATCACATATGCCTGGGATTTTAGAGGAAACTCTTCGGGGGTTGGATTACTCCTAAATTGAAAATTCGGTCGGACTGTGAATTTGGTTACCGGAGGAAACGCTGTATAGCAGATTTGAGAGATGGCTGGTGAATGTAGGTGACGGTGCAGAGTAATAGACTCCGACTGTGTGTTTTAGCCGGAGGACCCATAGCTGATAAGCTGCAGCAGGCTTTGATGCCTGTGGCTGACCACGCTACCTGCTCCCAACCTGACTGGTGGGGTATTGCTGTCAGGACTACCATGGTGTGTGCCGGTGGGGATGGAATCGTGGCCGGATGCAATGTAAGTGGCTGTGTGGGTGTGTCTGTGTGAAGCAAATTCAAGTTCAAGCAAATAATCCAAGAAATCACAAGGAAATACTCCCTGCAGCTGCACCAAATGCCTAACACATCATCCTTCATCCTCTAATTGTGTGTCCAGGGCGACTCCGGTGGCCCTCTGAGCTGTAAGAACACAGAGGGATCCTGGGAAGTCCACGGCATCGCCAGCTTTGTCTCTGGACTTGGCTGCAACTTTGAGAAGAAACCCACCGTCTTCACCAGAGTCTCCGCTTTCAACGACTGGATCGACCAGGTACACAAATGGATATGAATTATTTCATGGAGAAGCGCCTCCATTGTACATAAGGCTGTTTGCTTGTTTCCATTTTCCTCTAATGAATACATATTTGTGTTTTCAGGTTATGATGAACAACTAAAAAATATAAAGTTGTAATAAATGACACCCAGTGAATTGTATTGTTTGTGAGTGTGTGTGTTTGTTGTTTCTCGCATCTTATAAATCCCCATCCAGATAAATAGTAAATGAATCCTAAACATTATTAAGCCACATTTACTGATACTGGCTGGCTAGAAACTTAAAAAAAACATGTCAACTGATATCCAGCAGGTGTCCTCGTACACTCATATTAGGACTATTGGTTTTGACAGCTTTCCAAATCACTACATCATGCAGAATGACCAATGTTTCTACCAGCAAATACAGCACCAACAAACATGATACACCGTTCTAATAATATTGGATTACTAGAGTAAACGGTGTACGCTGTCAAGAAATAGATAGAGCCTATAAAACATGAATCTAATAACCCAGCTGGAAACTGACCTTGGTCCCCGTGACCTCTCGACAAGAGTGTGTGTGTGTGTGTGTGTGTGTGTGTGTGTGTGTGTGTGTGTGTGTGTGTGTGTGTGTGTGTGTGTGTGCGTGCGTGCGTGCGTGCGTGCGTGTGTGGAAGGAGACAGACCTGTACGGGAGGCTCCATAGTGTGTCTGAAAGTGAGTGCATGGCTCCGATCTGACCAATCACTCTTCTAAAGGATCTGCCTCTGAGGAACCAGACTGTGATGCGCGTTAACTATCCCATCTAAACGTCTGCGAAAGCTACAGCAAAAGTGCAACTCGCTGACTAATTCAGTCAGATTTAGAAATCACGTTATTCACAGACACTATATATGTCTAGATCTAAAAAGAAAAAAAAACATATTGCTTTGACAAGTTCAGTGCACAGTAATGATGATATCGTTACATATATAAAGCTGCAATCATCACTTATAAGCCATGCATTCATATTTAATTAAAACATTGTACATCTTGTACAATCTTGAATCTGAACTACTCTGATGGTATCTGGATTTGTCCCTCAGCAAAACGTTTTTCCGATGAAAGTTGTTATGGAGAAATTAGGGCTCAAAAGAATTCTTTGTCTCTTTTTTAACTTTGTAGGTCAGGTTGCCCCCACTCTTTATCACAAACACGCACGAATACACACACGCGCACACACATACACACAATGACAGACAAAGAAAGAGAGGTACAACTCCCCCGAGGCCCCCTTCTGTTGTGTTGAATACCAATAGGGAGCAGAGCAGGTTTCTCGTACAGCTGCTGCTTAAGTTCTCACAACTTGCCCGTGTTCTTAATTCTGTCCCGTTTTAAAATAAGTCCTTCTGCACAAAAAAGAATCACAATACAGTTATTGGTATTGCATCTCCTTTTTCCATGCTTTCATTTTGTTGTTGTTGGGGTTTTTTTGCAAAATGTTATAAAGTTACGTCTTTAACTGCTCTCGCACTGCCTGGTTGCATCGACCTTTACGCAGCACCACTGACCTTCTTCAAGAGGGGGGTGCGAGGAAAAGCACTTGATGGGATGTTCCATGAGCGCCTTTGTGGAAAATAGCTCAGTAGAAAGCCTCGAGGACGGGAGAGAGGGAGGGAGGGAAGCGGGGGTGGGAGGGATGATGAACAGCCACAGTGACGCCAGCTTCTCCGCTCTGTCGCCCCGCGCCGGTCAGCAAGTCACCGGGAACCGGTCCCGACCGCGCCAGCTCTTCCACATCCACAGTCCGCTGCCGTGAAGGCATTTCGCCACGCGGGCAGCAAAGGGTCCGGCCCCGCACACCGACACAAACAGTTAAAGAGTTGGAGATCCGTGTGCGTTCTGAACGTTTTTGCATGGAAGCGTGCGGACGCGCGGGCGCAGCGGAGGACGAGAGAAGAAGTAGTTCCCCGACGCATGGACACCGGACGCCAGAGGGAAGGAATAGGTAGGCTCAGAAATGTGCTTGAAGGGACACTGTGCGCAGGCTACAAACGAAAAGAAACCAAAAATGATAAACTAATGACGCCTTATCTTCAGTCCACACGTGTTATAGTGTGTTTTTTTTATTTTTATTATATAGTTTTGTTTTAAAAATGATATTGTTGGATGTTTTCTACACATTAGTGCATTAATGGCCTTCCTAAAGTTCCACCTCAACGTTCTTGAAAGTATTTCAAACTGATATGCAACACACATGCGTGTGTAAAATACACACACAACCAATGATTACGTGTCTGATTGTGCCCTCATCTACAAATTAACAACAACATTAACAATCAGGAATAAGAAATCAGGAAACAACATTAACAACTACTTTTTTGATGTCAGAAATAGTGAGCCTGTCAGCACTAAACAGTGTTGATTTCTTGGACTTGGAAGTTGGAAGTTGTAGGCCACGCAGCTGGGGAGGGAGAGGGGAGCTTCAGTCACATGAGACAGAGGTCGCTCAGTCAGTCCACTGCAATGGGGATGCATTATGTACAAGTATTTCCTGTTGTCCATGTGGTCACTGCAAGCACAAATGTGGTTGTCCACCTGTGTGCAGGACCTATTTTGCCTCGTGATCCATGACAAGCAAAAGTCTGTGTGCGTGTAGGCTATATTTGCATGCATTTGATTTACATGGTTTTCATTTGCGCACAAAAGGCCTTTATATGTCTATCAATGGCACCATTCACAGAAACACTTTGCAGTTGCATCCTACCAGTATCAACCTACAGCCCAACCAGCTACCTTCATTACACAACAGATGGACGGCAGTTATCTGTGTGTTGATTTGGGCCTCATGTGTGGATTTTGCATGTTTGTGTGAGGCGGGCCAGTCATGTGCTGTTTTGATCTTTGAACCTTCAAATCTAACAAAACAAACATTCAATCAATTTGATTCTCTAACAGTCATTTGAAATTAATTTAAACTTACTGACACATTTTTACTGATGCACTGTGATGCGATTGGCCTGCCTTCAAATTTGACAGCATCCAACTGCACAAAGAGACGCAATCCTCTTTTATAGTTCTGCTCCAGTTTGTTCCGGCTTGATCCGAGCTGTGGTGTATTCAGAGGAAATGTATTTATCTTGTAAATGCAAACGAATGCTCCTTTTATCATGTACTTTGGGTACATGTTATGCCATCAAATTGGTTATAATGAATAACTCTTGCGACTGCTGTCTCGTTATATGCGCCACTGATTGTCTGAAATCAATATGACCAGGCAAACAGCCCTCTTTGCTCACACTGATTTCTCCAGCACACACACACACACACATGCAGACTCTTCCCTGTCACATCTCTCAGTCATCTAGTTCACACATTCCTCGCTTTCGCTCTAATTGGAATTTTAAACCTGACCTCTGCGAATAAGTCCCTCAGGATGTTTAGGAAATATTCTGCAAAGCAGTGAGGGTGGTTTTATTTACAGTAATCCCATATAGAGATGAGGGTGTGGAGGGGAGTGAGGGTTCATTCCCTTCAGTGATTCCACCAGCATCCTGAGAGGGTCCCATATAGTTCAAACAGAAACCTACTTCTTGCATCGTAGAGCAAATCAAATGCATTATTACCACATTCTCTGTTGGAGCTATCCAGCTTGGTTCTAAAATGCCCATAAAGGAAGGATAACTTTGAAATGAGTTCTCCACAGCAAGCTTGGACTTTTGTAGTATTGCACTCATTTGGAGAGAAGAGGAAATATGTGGTCTCATTAGAAATGCATTAGATGGAAGTGATCCCCGGTCCTTCTCTGTCTCTCTCTCACTCTCCCTCCCTCCCTCCCTGTGAAACACACACCAGCACACCTTACTGACCCATTTAATATCAGCCATGAAACTGGAAACATTATTACCACATGCTCCTCCTGAAAACACATTACTTCTAAAACTCACTCCCAATAATTCAGGCAGGGAAAGTACTTCCTGGCACCTTATTTATCATTTTAATAACGTCATCACTCTTTGCCAGTGTAAAGGAAACAGGATTAAAAAACGGATGTTTCAACACAGCGCCGAAGCCGAAAGGCACTTTCTTATCCTGTAATACTCCTCTATCATCCACAGGTTGTTATACACAACAAATGAATTATTTCTGTATAGCTGCCTTACTCTTTTGTTATATATTACAAGGACTGAGATAATATAATACAATGCGTTGTGCTGCTTTATTAGACACCCTCATAATGCGATTATTGCTTCTAAAACATGTTGAGAGTGAAACCCCCAAAGCAGAGCTCTGGCTTAGTCGGGTTATTCCATGCGAATAGCGTCTACAGGGACAAAGCCACCGTGTCCTGATAACTACATTGTCAGGGAGAAAGTAATCTCAACTGAACCGACCTCATAGCAGACTCAGCCGGCCCACGTGACGGGCAGGTTAGCTGTTGCCAAGAACGTGTGTGTCTATGTATGTGTGTGTGCGGTGCACAGGTGCATGTGCTGGGAAATAAAACTCACGTGATGCATTTATTTTTCTTTCCAGGGAGAACCTGAGGAGTTGCGGGCCCGGCACCAGTTGTAGGCCTCGGACCCATCTCCGGAGTGTCATTTGTCTGTAATGAGTCTGGAAGCTGCACTTCAAGTGGCCATGGAACATGATCTGAGGACGGGCCTGTCTGTGTGGGCCATTATAGCCATTGTTTGTAACTCTGTGGTGGGTGTCCTCATCCTCATCCTCTTCGTCATCCTCTACAAGGCCTGCAAAGTGCCTTCCCACCAAGAGAAAGTGCCAGTTTTCACAGCAGTGCCGCTGAGGAAGATGCCTGAACAGAAATACCTACTGACTGCCGCCTGAGCACGAAGGACATTGGAATGGTGATTTATTTGAGCTTTAGTCATCTTATAGCAACTAAACGTTTACTCACTATTCACTCTCCGGATGAGCGTCTGCGTCAGCTCTCTGAACCCTAAGTGTTCTTCTACATTTTCTTTCTCTCATCACTTACAGTCATGATTTGCTCTTTGTGTTTCACATGAACGTGCATGTTCACATTTCTCCATCAGCTTCTCATCTGCGCCACTTGGCTCAGAGGTAGCAAACTGCATTAAGAGTTGTGGCAAGTCCAACAGCAACAACAAGCGGGCCCAATCCTCTTATCTCTGCTGTGCGGCGCAGGGACAGTCCATCTGTCAGTTTGCTTTGCTCTACGCAGGCTGACCGCGAGCTCCCACTATAGACCTCAGCACCCCCCCACTCCCCCGCCCCATATCGCACAACTGAGAGGATGTGGAATGGAAACTGCAAAGACACAATGGATTGTATGCAGGTACTTCGGGTTGATGGGGTTTGGCTTAGAACACCAACAACATGTTAGAGATGAAGAGAAAGAAGCAGCAGCAAGCGGCTTAGTTTTTTGCCAGCTGCATCACTAATAACATCAACGACAGAGAACACCAAAGCCTGGACGTCAGCACGAGGAGAAAGACGCTGCCGGAGAAAGTGTGTGAGAGTCACAACGGGGCGGAGAGGGAGACGGGCGGAGAGAGAACGGGCACATTTATCTCAGAGAATGATGAAGTTCAAGAATCGAAGAGGGGATGCTTTGATGTGTTTGTTTTACAGAAAGGGAGCTCAAGGACCTGGTTTGACAGTTTCCCTTTTTGACACACAAGCTTTCACCAATCCAACTCCCATAGGATTAAAAGCCGCAGCAAAAATGTTCCTCGTGTCCCAGAGTGCCTCTCTCTCATTTTATGATCTCCTGAATAGGATATTTATACACAGCCTTTACCAGAAATGGCAGACTTACTGAACACTGACAGACTCACAATAGTGAGTATTGGTTTTATTGTAGTGAATATATTGCAACACAATTTGCTGCTCAATGTTAATATTCTCTAATGGATGGAAGAGAGACTATGTTACAAAGCATGTATCTCAGCGTCATCAGAATAAAGTCGGCTGCATACCTCTGTATATGTTTGTTTTTAATAGTAGATCCAATGATCCAAAGTCTAATATAGTATACAGTTAACTTGCTAAAACAATAATATGCCTTTTCCATTTTCTGTTCGATTAGATGATATTATTCTGTCCGGCTTATATGTAGACCTAATAATTACTTACTGATTTACTTTACTTACTTACTCGTTAGATATTTGATGAATCATTTAAATCACAATTGGGATAAAGAAAGAACTTGAATTTGACTAACAGAAAAACTGCCCATTAAAACAATAATTTGTTGTAATCCAACACTTTGTGTGCCTTTTGTAAGAGATGAGTTTCTCTTTTACAGAATAATTTGCTGTTGTTTATATGCAAGGAGGATGACAACCAATGTTTCTCTGCTCCTTACTTGTGTATTACCAATAATAACCCTTTGGCAAACAACAATTTGTGACTAATATTTGACTTCAGCTTCCTGCACCGATGTTATCAATGAGGAACAAATTGACGTCAACATCCTGTTGTTGGTCAACTACAACCATATAATCCTTATTTGGTAACCACAATCCAGCATTGTTATAACTAAGGGAACTTCTCAGTGTTCACCAATAACAAGGTTCTTGATTATACAGTTTAGTTGAAGTTTGTCATTATTTCTTCATTTCCATCACCCAGAAGGCAGCAATGGATTGTTAACTGTGCACCTTCACTCATGTATTGTACTGGAAGTAATTGCTAAATCTCAGAACGTATGTCTTTGCAATTTGGCTGCATAATATTTCATATATCCACTAATATACCACACACTGTGGATGACTCAACTAGAGCATATATCATGATCACAAGTTGTGGACACCAAACAACCGGATCCAGTTATTTTTTACGTTCCCATGGATTAATTACTAAAACAAGAGTAATAAAGGACAGTGCAATGTTAGGTGCTTTAGTACGTCCATGCGTGCAGGTGTAAAAGCAACTGTGAGGCACACGGTTGGGTTCTGAGCCTGCTTTTGATTCCGAGCTGATCATCAGTGTTTATCTGCTTCCCTTCCATTGATCTGCCTGCCAGTCGCTCTTTGGCTCCCTCTTCTCTCATTTGTTCCTCTATTCCCATCTAACCAGACTGGTGCCAGGTCAACGCCAGCTGCCCGGTGCAGATGCAGTGATCTACTCCACAGTGAGCGGAACGTTCTGATCCTCCACTGAAGAAAGCAGATCATAAAGCGATCATGTGTGATGCCAGCGAGAGAACACAATCGAATAAGCATCCATCTCGTCGTCCACTTCCATGGACTCCTCCACCGCAGGTGTAATGTGCAGACGTGGCACCTGAACTGAACAGCCGTTACCATTCCTCAATTTCAGGGAATGCTTCACACGGCTCCAAAGCAATATCCCAGATGTTCCAACGCAGTACAACAAATAACTAACTAATGAGGGGCCAGTATTCTGCAGCTCTATCGGCACGGCTGGAGGGGTTGCGTAACCCACATCAGCAAAGGTCGAGTCATGAGCAGTATTTGAGTTTGTGCGTGTGTCAGTGATATAACGTAATTACTGAGGGACCAAATGTCAGGCTCTGTTTTGGACACAACATGCCCAGAAATGATCTGGGTTCTTTTGCAATTCATATCTTATGTAATCTATAATTGTATTTAGAAGATGTAAATAGAACATGTTCTATTTGTGTGTGTGTGTTTGTGTGTGTGTTACAACGTCTTTAAAGGATCCAATTTTAGTCTCTGATTTAGACACCAAATGCCAGCAAATTGTGTGTTTTTTTGCATGTGTTCTTTTTTTTGTCTTTCAATTTTGTGTAATCCATAATTTTACTCAGCCGCTCCAAATAAAACATTTTGTGTGTGTGTGTGTGTGTGTGTGTGTGGGAGGGGGTGGGGGGGGGGGAGGTTGAAAGAGACATAAAGTCACAGAACTGTTGCTTTGAGGCTGTATCTGATATGAAGTATTAAGTAATTGCAAATGCGACGGAAGCATCAATGAATAATTAATGAGAACATTCTAATCATACTTAATAAGATCTTCATCGGGACTCCCACAGAGTCATGAACACTAAACACAATTACATGCACAGAGGATCAGTCATTTAATCGAGTTTGGCAACAATGCAGCTCTAAAATCATAATTGTCCAGTGAATGACTTTATGAATGTTTATTCCATCAACAGAGGTTAAATCAGCAAAAAACGTGAGAAAACACTACGACCTACTTGATCACACCTCATTGACATGCATCCTCCGACCATCTTGTGTGCCCGTTCTCTTTTAGAATCGGACCGCCACCTGCTGGTTAAACCTTTAAAGTGGGCCGCCTCGAGCTGTAGCCGCCTGCTGTTGGCTGAAAGCTGCCAGTTTACCCTGTCGCTTATTGTGCAGCAGAGCATGCGTGCTATTGCTGCACTCTGCTGGCATTTCCAGGTACTGACAATGTGCAATCAGATCTGTTAGTGGTTATAAGTCACAAGTTCCTGGATGTTCTCCCCCCGAAGGCCATTATGAGCACCATGTTATGTTGTTTCCCACCAAACGTACAATAAATGTCCTCCAAGGTGGTTCCTTTTTGTTCTCTTAATAAATACCTAGTATGTAACATGTTTATCTTTTGTGTTTTTGTAATGTAAGCCTCCATAGTGGTGCCAAAACAACTTTCTGCATGTGTATTTATTGTTCTTGATAATACGCAGCATATTATCAAGTACCCTACTTTGCTTGTATAAATGTTCTATAAATGTTCTCGGCCACTATACTGTTCATGGGTTTCATGGCTGTGCTGCAGTTTAAGAAATGGTGACTGAGGCATATAATTGTTCAGTCGGAAACCAAAGACATTCAACTTCAATAATTAACTTTAATTTAGAATGAATTGCTCACAGAACACTGCTGATTTGACCTACATTGACTATTACAGACCACAGGCTCAATTCCTGAGGTTTTTCATTAGACGTGTTTTGTCCCTGGTGCTATAATTAATTGGTTCCAAGTCGTTTTTTTGATTGAGTAATTTATTCTGTTTTGATTTAAATCCTTGAAGGTGATTGTTAATTGACTTTCCAAATGATGGGTTGTTAGGCTGTGTGCCTATGATATTTCCAGTGTTTTTGTAGCAAATAAATGTCATGGGGTTCACTGGTCCGCAGGGTTCCGACAACAATATGAACTGAAGCCCGTTTTAAAGAAGATTAATCTTGCTATTAAGCATATAAATATGAAAATAGCTAATCTTTTGATCCCGTAGCCTTCCATTCTTTACCTCAGACGTGCAAAAGAGAAACAAAAATGGGGGGAAAGGGAGAAATAAAAAGTGTAAGTGGCATCGCATAAGCCAATATGAACAAATATTTAAAAATGTAAATAAACAAATCAACATCATCAATAGAACATGAAGAGCTTATAAATTGTGAGATATCTACTGCCCCTCGTTCCTCAGGGAGCGGCAGTGAGTCACTCTGGCTCCAAACCCGCATGAACCAGAAAATTAGGCTAAATATTGCTCTGCAAACTAGCACAGCCTACGTGGAGCTTTACCCACCAAGTTGAAATGTAAACTTATTACATGTTTGCACAGCTGAACTAGCACAATAATGTGTGAAATCGTGTTGGATTAAATGTTGCCTTTGCCTAAAGTGTTGCAGGGCCGCCCAACTGGTGGAGACGCCGGGGAAGAGCCAGCAGCATCGGGTCTCCCAGCTGGGCCGGGAACGCCTCAAGATGAATGACCTAGAAATGTCATGTTGGTCGTGGTGCTGGACCCGAGAGCAGAACGCGGATCAGAAAAGGTTTCGACAGCCTTTATTATAAAGAGCCAGGAGGTGAATAGTGGTGAGCTGGCTGGAGGAATGGTCGGCAGGCTGGAGCAGGCTCAGTCCACAACGCCGGTGCGGGGAATCCAGAAGGGCCGAGGACCTGAGGCAGACAAAAAAACGGTAACAAACTGTTTGTGGATTGCTGAGGGTTTTTGCCGTAGCATTAGTTCCGGGTTTGGGAACTGACGATCTGGCAAGGAATGAGTGGGAGGCGGGAGAATATCAAGCCCGGAGCTTGATTGGTGAATGCCTTACAGCCATGCCAGTCAATTAGCCCAGATCAAGACGAGAAAAGTGAGAGGGAAGTTTGGGTCAGCCTGCCTGGCCTGCTGCCACCGCAAAACCGACCTCTATGGATGGAATAGAGCGATTGTTTAATGGACAACCATAAAAATATATGTCGCAAGATGTATTGTAATGAGGGCAAAAAACATCTACTCAAAACGTCTGGTACAACTTTTAAAACGTTTTCAACATGTGCCATTCTCATTAATCAGACCTACAGCAACATCTGTGATGACAAAAAAAGATTTGCCATTCTTCATCTCCCCCATCAGTATGGTTCAACTCTCAAGCCCTCAAAGAACAGATCAACCAACAAGCTTCATCATTTGTTGAGGAGGGACCAGTCGTTTTCTCAACGTCTTCTGCCCACAGTGATTGAAGAAAAAACACACACCCATGCCGCAAACCATAGGCTGGCACCATGTTATTGAGTTATTTGGACACCTTCTGCACATTCTTGCTCTGCTGTGAGTTAGTTTTTTTGTGTTTTTCCCTTTCTTTTAAAAACTGAAGACTATCAATTTTGCTTGTATGAACTGACAATATTTTTGGAGCATCTGGTCAAATCTTACACATTTTAAATAAAACAAAAGTATTAAAGTAAAAAGTAAAAGTATAAGTATTCAGAATTGGGCCATTCTACTTAATGACTAATTATTTGATTGTAATTGTTGATTCAGTAATCTGTAAAGCATTATTGTATAACGCTTGGCAGAGCGGTGGTGTGTGAATTCCCCCCATTGGCCCACAAAATATCTTAATAAATTATGATTAATTTGTTAATTACACTGTGTATCAATTAACATTTACAAAGTACTTGTCTAACTTAAATAAATAAATACATAATTATTATTAAATACATAAGGCTTAATAAATGAAATACAATATCTGCCTCCTGTATGTGAATAAAAGTAACGGTATTTGAGCAGATCCACTTTCCACTGCTGCCGTCTCCCTCGGAACCGCTGAGGTCTTCTTTCGGGGGCCGCTTCTGGTAACACCCTACACCCGGAAGTGGGTGGCGTAGTCCCCGTCACCCAAACCGGTCACACCACCATCGACGTAGACCGACTGCCTGCTGGGATGTAGCTCGCCACCGGGGAACCAAAACAGACTGTGACCAATCGGGCGATCACCGAACTCACACAATCTCGGCGAGGACTCGTGGAAACGACCAGTCGAGGACACCTCGTTTAAGAGGAGAAGGAAAGGGGGAGACGGAAGGAAAATGATGGAAGAAATAGACAGATTTCAAGTGCCGAGCGCCGTGCAGGAGGCGGAGATGCAGGCGGAGATGCAGCCGCTGGTGAGTTGTATCGGAGACCATCGCTCAACGCTCGGGTCTCGTATGCTAACGTAATGTCACTGTTATTCTGGGATGTTCCGGGTATGAGGCCTTCCGTTCATAATGTTTATTTTTTAGGGGGGGTGGGGGGGGGGGGGTCCCGACAGATCCATCACCCGCCACGCGCAACACCCCGAGTGTTTTTTCTTCTTACCCGACTACATCAAAACGTGAAAGATGCTCGTGTAACGTGTCAGAGGACCGCGGATGTGCTTAAGGACACGCGTGTGCGTGTGTGTTTCACTGTAGTGGCGGCAGCGTCCAGTCTGCTGCGTAGTCGGCTGCCTCCGTCATGTCTGGTGAAAACAACCCATCCCACCGCCGCGGCTCCAGCATCAGCACCAATGCCGCAGACTGCGTCGCTCTGACGCAAAAAAGCCCGCGTGTCGCCCCCGACGCAATTTCTGAGTTGTGTCGTAAATGCAAATACGTGCTCGCGTTGAAACGTTACGGGGATGTGGTTTTGATTGGAAATCGGGTGTCAGTGATGTGGCGGTGTGGGTGCGCTCGTTTGGCTACAGCGGAGCGCTGGGTTACTGCAGCGGCGGCTGCAGGGCGGCCTCTTATTGAGCCAGACTGGTCCCAAAGTGGTCTGACCTGCAGTGTCCAGACCCTTCTCTCCTCCACTTCCCCCTAGGTCATGCTCTTTATTTTTAGTCCTTACCCTTTGTTTTGTTTTAAATGGGGGGTGGAATTTAGTTAGTCTTCTAAATGGTCCTAAATCAAGGCTCCCTTCAAGATCAGTATTTTACATTCACATAAAATGAGTATTACAAATGTGAGTGTGATATCTATTTTAAATTGCACGTTTTTAATATCTACAGTTGAAGGTAGCTAAACCTAGTTTGTCTTAGGTTAACAGTATTCTTGAGAAGCTCTTTTTTTTACTTTGTCGGCTGTATTTTATGCATGAATGATTCATCACTGGATCATTATTGCACACGTCTGCTCTGTCCACGCCCTTGTCTGGTTGGCCTCCAGGACCCGGCCTCTTCCACAGCCTCCGAGGCCGACTCGGACACCAGGGAGGTGGAACCTGTCACCATCAACTACAAGCCCTCACCTCTGCAGAGGAAAATAGGTGGGTACAATATTTTGTGTCTGTTTGTGGAAAATCCTCTAACCTGTAATCAAGAGCATGTCTTAAGTCCCTGGAACAAATAGCATACGTTTAATAACTGCAGCTTGCAAAGGTTTGGCATCTCCTTTCAGTTATTTTGCCTGATAAATAACGCTCAGTAAACAATGAATACGTTTGCACTGTTCATAATCAATAAATATTCAAATGTTTTGACTCTCAAATATGTAAAGGTTTGTAGTGTGGGGAGATACCGAAGGCAACATTTTTTAGGTATTTGCGCCAGTTTGATTCTCTACAGTTTAGAAAGCCGCAGTCCTTCATTGCTGTTTTCAGCACTTTGGACAGAGTCCAGTAGGGCGCCAGTGCCTCCTCTTAACTCCTACTATAACACTTTAGAGTGTAAGGATTACACACACTTGAACCCAAAAGCACAACTCAGAAAGAGAAATGCAATCAAGTCTTTGACTTGTATTGTTCACAATATCAGTACGACAGGCAAACAAATCCAAAAAGAGGGCACGGAAAAAATCCCAGGTGGAGGGTCAGAACAAGATACACTGGCGGGCTTGGCAGTGACACACAAGACAGTCTGGCACAAGAAAGTGCTCGGACCTAAATAGTGAGGGATTAATGGGGGAATGGGCTGCAGGTGGGAAGCGCATGAGGACCAGGTGAAGGGAATGACAGATGATCTCGTGTTGAGGACAGGATCTGGAATGACAGGAAAGTTCATTGACAAGCAGCCAAGCAGGAGAAAAACTAATAAGATGGAAACCCTGGCATACACGTGGAGTACGCCAGCCCCCTAATAGCTCCATCATTTATTTCTTTACATGTTGAAAGTGAGTACACAATCATGGGCACAGACTTGGCTGTGTATTATTTTGCTTAAACTCACTTGGTGTTTGGAGTATTTTTTTTAACTCAAAGCGTAATTCCATTAACTGCCATTAACTGGTGGCACAATATTATAACATTTACTGTCTTCATATCATGTCCTGTACTGTGCTGCAAAGCCTATAGCTGGTCATCATGTTCAGGGAGAAGAAATTTCAAAGTAGAGATGAATTCAAGCCAATTCTGTTTCCTGATGGTCAAACCTTTTGATGAATGTATGTTGAAATTATACAGATTTATTCTTTTAATATCGTTTGTCTATATGACAGACTGTCATAGAGTTATTCAATGCCTTCAAGTAAGTTAACAACCAGTTGATATGAACATTCGCTCAAACCAAATCCAGCCTTATTTTGTTTGTTGTCATTTGGAGAGTTAAACTGAGACTGCATGTCTATTTGTTTCCTTGTGCAGAGAAACAGAGAGAGCTGGCTAGGAAGGGATCATTGAAGAACAGCAACGCTGTCGGTAGTCCAGTCAACCAGCAGCCCAAGAAGAACAACAACGTCATGGCCCGAACACGGTGAGAAGTGGTTGCTTTGTTTGTTTGTGTGGAGAGCATGAGGTAGTAGCTGGTGTCGTCCCACAGCTGTCCCCAATGTTCATTTACAATTTACAGCTACAGTAAACAAGTTTGCATGGGCGGGACCAGATTTATTTCTCTGTCAGTGGGGCCAGAGTATAGTTTTATTGATTTAGGGTTTGTAAGATGTCAGAGTTACAGATCAGACCCCGTTCATGCTTACGTTGTTAATGCAGCAGCAGCTGTAACTGTAGATCAATTGCGGTGTCCTCTCCAGACTCGCCCCCCCTCTCCCTCACTTTCTTTGAGCGTCTTTGCCGATCTTCCTTAACTCTTCCTGTTTGTGGATCCCTTTCTCCTCCTCCACAGTTTCCTGTCGTATTGCCTTACACCCTTTTCCTGCTTCTCTGACAATGTATCCCCTCTGTCTCGGTAGGTTGGTGGTGCCCAACAAAGGCTATTCTTCGTTAGACCAGAGCCCGGATGAGAAGCCCTTGGTGGCCCTTGACACAGACAGGTAAACACACACACACACACACGTGCACAAACACACACATTAACACACTTGCGGTCACATTCACGCCATGAACACGGGGATTCTAAGCTAATTTACGCCGTTTGTTTCAGTGATGACGATTTTGACATGTCTAGATACTCGTCGTCGGGATACTCCTCTGCTGAGGTGAGACACGTGAAATATCTATTTTTATGCCTTATATTCATTCGCTTTCTCTTTTCTTATATTTGAGGTCACAAGCACGAGCAAAGTACGCTGTGCGACGCGGCGATGGTCCACCTCCCTGTGGTTGCTGGAACCCATCGACTTCCTTTTGTCTTCCCCTTTTCAGCAAATCAATCAGGATCTGAACATACAGCTGCTGAAAGACGGTTACCGCCTGGATGAGATCCCGGACGACGAGGACCTGGATCTGATCCCGCCCAAATCGGTCAACCCCACCTGCATGTGCTGCCAGGCAACCTCCTCCACCACCTGTCAAATACAGTAACCGCTCCACTCTCACCTTCTGCCTCTGCCCCTTTCCACGCAAAATATCCTTCTTCATCTGCTGTGAGTTTACTTTGCCGCCACAGTGGTGACATCGAAGCATTGGTAGAGTATTGTAATGCCAGTTATGTGCTATGGTGGCAGTGAGAAATAATCAAATTAACAAATAGAGTATTTGGTTTCAAATCTGGGAGATAGGCCACATTTGAAAATCTTAAATATGTATTTAAAATGTTTTAAAATAAGTGAAAGTGGTTGTTTCCTCCTATGGTAGGACGTGCACTTGTGTTTGAGAGCTCTTCTTCTGGTGATGGTGATGTAACACACTGATATTAGAGGGCATGATACCGAAGGTCAATTGATGCTATGAAGTGAACTCCATTTCCCTGAAGAATAAGAACCATCATAAATGCTCATTCAACTGTTCTGCTTACCTGACTGAATTCTGGGTTGCATTGTTTTTTTGTAGTTTTAAATGCTCATCGTTTTAGGCTTGAAGGACGAGTATGATTGTGTGTGTGGATGTAGGTGTTTGTATCTCCATAGAGAGGATATCTGATACCATATTCATTGTACTGCAGAGGGTCGATGAGCTGCACTGACTATGTCGTTGCATCCATTCAGCCCACTCTCAATACTTTGGCTTTCTCTCCGATTCAGAGTTTCGGGACGAATGTATGAACACGAGTGGCTCTGAAAACAAATATTGCACGAGGAACACTGGACGGAGCAATAGAAAGGAAAAAAATACTGAACTGATTTTTTCTTTTGTGCAGTCACTAGCGTGACGAAGCATAGTGTTGAATTTTGCACTGTTGTATTTTTTGGGCCTGTATCTGTTTACTCTTTCCTGCACAGCAATGACAGTGTCTTATCCGCTATGAATTGTGTGTCAAAAAAAGAGAAGGTTATGAAATTTTGCAACAACCGTCAACCCTCATCAAGGCCAACGGGACAGTGGGGACCTCAAGATACATTTTTACGCACATTTGGCTGTGATTACACACAAACACACACACACACACAAAATCTGGATCGACGGACCTTCTTTCCTTCTCATTTCTGTGTTGACTCATCAAGCAAGCACACGTTCAGACAATAGAAAGATTACACTTTCTCATCTTGCACACATGCATATGCATGCATACAGACACACAAAACCCACATGAATAGTGAGATGCCATCTTTTAATCTCCTCTGACTAATGTTACTTTGTAACTGTAAAAATCAAGGATTCTTGGCTTTGAACACTAATATCTTTCCTTTACGACAGATCCCTCCTTAAACCAGCTGATCATTTGCATTTAGATTATGCCTTAAGTACAGAGACATTTGAAATATGTGTATTATTGCCATGTTGATCATTTAGTTTACTTGAAGAGCGTTTGCTGTCTATGAAGTTTTGATTTTTTAAATTATTACGTAGACAATAAGTATACTTGTTTTTTCTTTGTTTTTTTCAAATGAATTTCTTGTAATGTAAACACTTCCATTACAGTATTTAACAATGTTATTAAGTGCGGTGTATGAAAACCAATAAACACAAAGCTAATGGAGCCGTCTAGTTCTAATTTACTAAGTTGATACACCCTTTTTTTGCAATATTTCATCAGCATTGAAGTATTTAACAAATAGGAGACGGAAATAATGTTTAGAAAGAAAAAATATTTTAATATTAAAACATTTGAGCAGTAGTCATTACACAGCTATGTCTATTGCAAAAACATTGGGTCTGTGTAGACAGTCCCTGATTACAGTGCAGTAGCATCAGGAGTGAAGACTCAACCTGAAAGGCACCAACATCGAATCACAGACGTTATTCTGCCATAAAAGAAATAAAGCATTTAATTTCATAAATGTATGTAGTTTGTGTCTTACAAGCTTGTCTGGAGATTTTTTCTGCATTATTTGGCAAGTATAAAAAAAAGAAAATTAAGTAAAGTATATTTGTAGCTCTTATAGTGGATGACTAAAACCTTTCACACTTTTAGTAATATTTAAAATTACTAAATCTTAGTAATATGAGATTGACAAACAAACAAAAAATACTTTTTACCACACAAATACATTCAAACATGCTACATGGAATTAATGAGTCACCATCGAACTTATCAAGAGCCTGCCTTTAAATACTAGGACGTAAAATTAAACGTAAAAAATAAAGTTGTTTTTTTCTATTTGTTGTGCTTCCACTAGTTCACCACTAGGGGGTGTATTACCATCTAAAATGACCATGCATCACAATATTCCCTGATAAAATGCACTCCGGATACAGAGTAAATAAAGATAAGATTCAATGAACAGCAACTGGCACTGATATTCAACGTATTATTGAATATCAACGTAAAGAATCTGTCGATGTTCATTCAGGTCGTATTTCCAAAGGTTGAAAATGTAGGAGTTCCTCTCTGCTGCAAAATTCTTCAAAAAGGCACAGACCTCCTCGTTAACAGTTTATAAACTTTAACTTAACATGACTTTCCATTGTCTTAACATTAAATAGTTTTTCAATGCTAGTAAAGGGTTATCTTTCAACGGTTTTACCCTTACCCTTACCCTTTTGTTTACCACTGCACTATCAACATAATTGACATGAGGTTTGCTTATGGTCAATTATTTTAATCTATATCATAATGGGAAACTATGTCAAAGCAGAAAACAACTGCATGAACTATACCTACATCGTATAATCGAAGTCCATAGCTAAAATGTACAAAGTTAAATACCCAAGCTCTGTTATTCTCTATAATATAAATTTGTCTTATAACTCTCAGTTGAACTACAGTACATCATCCATCTGAAAGTTAATCTGTTTTATCTATTTACATGATAACTTCCTGTACGTTTGCTTTGTCCTGGAGTGGCGAGTAACCTTTTTGTAGTATGAGAATATATATATATATATATAGAATATATATATATATATTTATATATATATAGGAATATATATATATGTATAGAATATATATAGAATATATATATATATATTTATATATGGAAATAATATTGACTAAGCGAAGGTTTTTTTCCGGTCTTGGTGGCTTCCCCCGGCAAATTAAGTCAGGGATGAAAAGTGACCTCACATGCTGTTAATGAAAAGTATATACCTCCACAAATGCCTTTTGGCTTTCCGATTCTTCCCCTGGATATAAAGCGCACTATACTAGGTAGAATGATCACCAAATGGAAGGCAACTAGAGCCTGTGTGTCAGACAAAGAAGACCCCTAATAAATGCCGATCATGTCAGGGAAAAAGAAACTTCTATCCGGATTACTGTCAGGTTCAAATATATATTTCTGTGTGCTGTTGCACATTGTTACATGCGTTAGAAAGTCCTTTGAAATAGGGGTCTGGCTGGTTGGTTGGTTGAGTTGACGAAGGTGCAGACACCTCAGTTGCAGAGCTGTCTCTACGTTTATGCACATCCTGTGTCTATAGCCGTGTGCGTAGACGTGTCTCACACCCCGACGGGACTTTGGTCTCCAGAGTCAGATGAGGACAGGGACACGGAGCAGCGGCATCGTTTGGCCCCGCTGGCGCCCTGCAGCATGCTGGGATGGAAGCCTGCGTGTCGCCGGGCATGTTTGGTCAGGTGGTCGCTCCTGATGAAGCACTTTTCACACATCGGACAGTTGAAGCGCTTCTCGCCGGTGTGCGTGCGGTAGTGGCGCGTGAGCTCGTCTGATCTGGAGAACTTCTTGCCGCAGGCTTGCCAGGTACACTCGAAGGGGCGCTCGCCTGGGGAAACACACACATGAGTTTTGCATTATCACCGTCATCTGCGTATATTACCCAATTTGAAACTTGTGGTTTTCTGAGATCGGCTTTTCTCTTCACCCACAAAGCCCACAGCGGTGTTTAGGCCAAACAAATCAAAATAAATGTGTTTCTTGTTAATGTGTTTACACGTGTTAAAAGCAGGTTATCAGAGACCTCAAATGGAGGCAAATTGTTTTGACCTTAATACCTCAATTACATCATTTCAAAAGCATTAAAATGTAATACAAAATGTCGGAAGCAAAACGAGAGGAGGAACTATAAAGTGTTTTCCTTTCAATTTGGGGCCTGAACAAACTATTTTTTCTTAGAAACATTGAACTCAGCACAAATATTGATTTAGAAAAGATGAGTCACTACAAGAGCCTCGTGAGTTACTTAAAGAAACACTGTGCCCCCTCCAACATGTGCTTCTTAGGACCACATGTCTACAGTTGTTTACAACCCAACATGAGGGGGGGGCGGGGCGGAGAAGGATGACGTATGCGGAAATGTCGCCGCAGGGAGGTTTGTGTCCGGACGGGAACATGAGGAGGCGTCAGTGTCGCAGTGACCTGCATGTGACGAGCCGAGATGGAACACCGTTATGCGCGGCTGTTACAACGCCACGCTCACATTACAATACACGCACATCCACACGGGCACTAGAAAGAAAACCACTACGGCGTACCAGCGCCATTTACGGTGCATCACGATTATGGGCGGCGACACGTGGTGTTCCCGGATCGCATTCACGTGCACCCTCCACCAAAGCAGACCCCCCCCCCCCCGTCTTGCTCTTCTGTTCCTGCAAACTTGCCACGCTATGAATAGCGAATAGAGATGAACCGACGACGCCCACAAAATGAAAAGGGGAACGATGACAGTGAAGTGACGCAGACCGCCCCCGCCCCCCCCCCCGCCCGCTTACCGGTGTGGACCCTCAGGTGGGCTTTGAGGTGGGACGACTTGCCGTACATCTTCCCGCAGCCGGCGAAAGGACAGCAGTGTCTCTTCTCGGGAAACTCCCCTCTCGGCGCCGCATTCTTGCTCCGGGACCGTTTGGGCGCCGCCGAGCCGCGGCTGTCCCCGGCGTTGGACCGGCACCCCGCCGCCCGCTCCACCTTCTTCTCCAGCGCCCCCGCGTCGCTGCCCGCCAGGCATATGCTTTCCGCGGGGCTCGCGGCGTGAGGGTTGCACTTGTTCAAGTCCAATAAAATCATCGCCACCATCATTAAAGTCCGGTTCTCCTGGTTCTCTTTCAGCGTGTCCTCTGCGCGCCCCGGTGGTCGGCTGAGGTCGCGCTCTGACATCACGACGGCAGGTCCGGGTGGAGGAATTAAAAAACACACCCGAAGTAGGCTTTATGCAGGAGCTGTGCGGGCTATTCAGACACACTCAGACATCGTGGGTGTTACTAGTTAATCAGACCGCAGTCACCCAAGGGTGCATGTGGCTAAGCATCCACACGTGTCGTCTTCCATGTGACTAATCCGCAAAGGCAGCGGGGTTTTTTTCTGTTGAGGTTGCAGGGCGGATAACTGAAACAGCCCTACGGCAAAGACATCCGTCTGGATATCCTTCTCAATGCCGCTTCATCCAGATCCTTTTATTCCAAAACGCCGGATCAATAAAATAAACCGTTAATCGGCCGCGTTACGGAGAGCTGCGGTCGTTCCGTCCTTCAGCGCGCCCCCAACACAAGCGTCAAGTTGTCCTGTTTTACTGTGGGACGCAATTCTCTCAACTCCGAGAAACAATTTCGCGGAATCCCACGGTGTCATCGGAGTGCGCGGCTGCGATTGGCTGAGAGGGAGCGTGACTCGGGTCGCGGAGTTGTCCAATCACGGGAGTGACTGCCGAAAAGAGGGCGGGGTCGGATTGAAGGTGCGTTTAGGTGCCGCAGGTTACTGGCACATATGGTCGGCCATTCTCCAAAGAAAAATGTGAAGTCTCAGCTAAAATGCCTGGAAAAAACCCGTTAAACCAAAACAAATATGACATATATCTAGACTTTTCATTTAGAATTTGTAAAAACGTTGACAGTCATTTTGTTTAAATAGTTGAAACTGTTTTGAGTAGCAGATTATGTGTAATATTTACTGTGCACGTCTTGTCCTATTCATTACCCCATAGCAACTCAAACATATATGTTTAAAAACTCCTCTCAGGCCTCTCTGTGTTACTTCCAATACAGCTCATGTGAGACTTGCTGTGAACAAACAACAACAAAATCAACATCACAAAGGTTAAGGTGAGGACAAAACGTGACAGTGGCACGCCCATCTTGTATTTTATCAAGTATGCAGCTGTCATACTTGTAATGCTGCTCCCTGGGGGATGAAGCAATAGATTCATATTTATTATGATGCAACAAGATTGTGATAATTGGCTCAAAATTAACCTACATTGTATCTGAGAAAACGTTTGTCAGCTTTTCTTAGTACCGGGTGGTGGTTGGTGTCGTTTGATGTCCCGCCTACAGCTGCAAAGATTATTGTTATGCCGTTATCAATCAGTGAAGGTCAAACGCCATGTAAGCATTTTAGATAACAGTCATGCAGTAGTGCAGCTGTTGTACAAGTAGGTCTATTCTTAAAACATTGTATTGATTCTACAAATTTATATTGGTTTAATTATTGATTTCTGACTTATCTGTAACACTTGTGTGAATCCGGATATATAGTTTGATCATCATAAAATTCCAAGGTCCATTGTTAGTTTAACTCAGGCTCCTGTGTAGCGAAATAAATCCGTATAAGTTGATCACACTTGTCTATTTGTGGAAAAAAAGCATGTGGTTAACAAATGATCATGCAACATATTAGGTCAGTATTTAAGTGTGTCTTCATGAGTTATTTTTCCATTTTTTGGGATGTAATCCGACTCAGCTACTGTGACCCATCATTTTATAACTGTGGACAACTGTCTAACGTTGTGTCCCAGTTACACGACCATGATCTGATCCTAAATTAGTGCAGTCCTTAGCTGCCCTCAAAGCTTTACACTTGAACTGTTCAATGGCTTGACCTCACTTGGCACATTGTTTGTTTATGATGTCAGTGTGTAAGATGTTTTTGTCTTTCTTACAAGTGATACAAATAACACATGTGAGAACATGTTACAGAAACACAGACACAAATACAATGTCAAAGTGAATAAGTTGTCTAACCTGGCAACAGCTGGCATTGTAATGAATGCAATCCTTTCATTTCTCTCAGAGACATTGCTAATTTGTTTTTGTGTAAAGTTTCTCATGTCAAACTGTCAACTTAGTGTATGAAATAAGAGTAAATCAAAAATATATGTGCAGAAATGTGTAGTTCAGATACCTGCCTGACACAATGTAACATTTTCATCCTTATGGGCCTTTGTTAAGGCATTATGTTAAATATCAACAGTCACGGAACAGATGATTATACAAGGACATAATACTGACCGTTGCTCTACCCAGTGCACACTAAAGGCCATCAGGTTTCATAAGCATAATAGATTATGTAGCGCTTGAGAACACGGCTCAGGCCGCTGGGTCACGGGTCACAGTCTGCACTTTCCTATGTTCCTCAGCACATCCACCCTACACTCGCAGTGGATGTCTGTTTCTTTCTACCCCACTGGGTGGTTCATTCACGAGTAAAGTTGGCACACTTCCTGTGAACAGTTCCTTCTGGGGCTTTCTCTCCCAGAACGGAGGGACTCTGACTAAGTATGACTGACGTGTTTTCCTCGACTTCTGTCCTCGTATGTCGGTGCCCCCGTGCCTCCCTCAAAGATAGATCCGAATGTTTGCTGATGTGGCCACGGCACTGCTGCCGCAACATTTCCCAACAGGCAGACAAGAGGCGACATCTCTCTTTAAACAACTGTCAAAACAGGCCGTCCTTTTCAGCCGAGGCCAAGTCACGTCTCCGTTGCAGCATTGCCCCATATACACTATGTTATCGTGATCTCTCAATTCACATTATGTCCAACGTTGGGACGGTGTGCGAAACAACATGAACAGAAGGAAAACGTTGAAGAAGAACGCAGGAGTAATAACAAAAAGTCCCCCTTTTGTATTTTCAGAGCACCGGGGACACAGCAGGAACGCCCCGTAACGGAGACCCGCCTCCGCGCGGCTCGATTCGTCGGTAGAACATTCACATTTCCTGGAAGAAAAAAGCAACTTGGCCGTCCGGCCTGCAGCCGCCCTCCGAGAGCAGAGCTGTAAACAGTTCTGTAGAAGAGGAGGCCGCTTCCCTCCCCCTGAGCGGGGGTGGGGGGGGGGGTTAGGGTTCAACAGGGCACCTCGTTTGTGGGTCATGTTGTTATGTAGACATGATACGGGGATCGTGTCGAAGCTGCACTCCTTTTTTTTTTTTTGTTCTCTTTTTTTTTTTGTTGTCTTTGCGCGCGTGTGATGTAACAGGGAGGAGGGGGAGGAAGAGGAGGAGGAGGAGGGGGGGCGTGTGCGCTATCTGAGTACAGAATGTTCCCTTCCACGTGTGGAGTGTGAAGCAAGTCTGAAGCACCCTCAGTGACCTGCTCCATTATATTTATATCGGCCCCGCGCGCAACAGACGTAGCCCTAGTTTCATTTCCTCCTATACATATATACAATCCTATGTATAATATATACATTTAGATATAAATATATATTTTTGTAAAGTTTAAATTTTTTTTTTTTTTTCAAAAGCCAAGACTCAAATTCTCCATTATTGAATATAATTCATCAAGGCATAGTACTCACAGTAAATACATCTTCACATACATGGCACAAAGGTAACTCAAGAGGTATAAGATAATATACAATAACAAAATATTAGAGTAGAGAATCAATAATGTCAAAGCGAATGTAATAAATAATAACATAGCAATAAGACCATATAAGACATGATAGACTAATCACTGTCACAGTCAGGGAGCTCGGTCTCCTGCCTTAACTGCAGAACAACTCATGTGATGTGCCTTGCTACTCGAGGCTCGGAACAGTATGTTCTTTCAACGTTGTGTGTTCTACAGTGATGAAGTTTACAGCTCCCAGCCCCCGGTTTGTGCACTCAGAACCAGTCAAATAAATGCAGATTTCTCTGTTCCAATAAGCAACATAATTAGACTTTTTTTGATCTACCTCTTCCTCTAAGTGAATTTGTGTGTATGAGAAACACCTCTCTGCTTGTATTTTTGTATTCTTGCTAAAACTGATATAACATCTGAGCTACACATGATAAGCATCAATCTTTTTGTTATCAGAGTGATTAAAGATCACGGTGAAGTCAAAGTAAGAAAGAACAGGTAAAAAAACGGAGTACCAATCTATTTCATTCTTTATTTGACAATGCATGCCAGACATGATCCTATTCACATTGAAGAACACAGATTTGTATTTGCATCCAAATACTCACTACTTTGATTTCATATTACAATCTCTCTCTAGCGTTCTTTCGTCATCTTTACAGGTCGTCTCTTTTCACTCTGAGTGGAAGAACTGCATGCATTTGAAGGACATTAAATAAAGTGTGACCATTAGGGGGATAAGTCCCTTTCAATTGTAGAAGCACATCAGCAATTATTGCAGAAAAAACGTGCATTAAACTCTCTTTAACTTACACGTCACAATGATTAACCTTCTAATTTATCACCAGGCTTTGGCACGTAGTTGACGGGTAAGTGATTTTACATTCCTTTGACAATGTGGAGGTAAAGACATTTCCAATTATAGTCATAGGAGGGAAGCAGATCTGTTGATTATGGGATACAGTATAGGAAAATATTGAAAAAATACTGTACACTGAGATTGTGTTGTGTTGTGTTGTGTTCGCATGCCTCCCTGCATTCAGATGTCCACGTTCACGCGCAGTTAATGTACACGCACACACACACACACACACATCCCTCCGATCGACCTCCCAGCCATGTCAACATACCACAAAACGAATAATAGTACCATGTGCAGACAACTTTAGTAGGGCCATGGACAGATATGTTTTCTCCTATTCTTTACTGCAAGGATAAAGAGATTTGAAAATAACATTTTGGTTCTGTATCACAGCAGGGCAAATAGGAGGGTTTAGGCTTTTCAGTCTGACACCGTCTGTTTTCATCGTTAGCCATGTGGAACTGAGTTGAGCTGCAACCTTTGCTTGATTAACCTGTCTACCACGCTGTGTGGACTGTGGGTCAGTAGAGCACGACTCGTTCACATTTGGTTTGGCTCAGCTGGTGAGGGACCAAAACCCTCTAACAATGTGCAGTTCTCGTTGTTTGGATTCTTGAAACTGGTGCGAGTCAGTCATATGAAGGCATTGCTTCGTATCGTATTGCCATTTCTGAAGACCTAAGATACAAAATAAACAGATGTCCTGAAGACATAAAGCACAGTGATTATATAAGAAGCTTTCTGCTGCAGACAAATCCAGATCTCTCCATTTCTCTTTTTGTTTACGTCTTTTGTTCCAGCCTGATAATCTTACTACCTTGCATCACTGGGGTAACGTTGTCCCTGAGTATTGACTCGGCGTCAACCTTTCACCTCCTAAACATACTGCATACTACGTATTTGTTGAGGAAATTGCAAATCTTATCCTTTTATGTAGTGATGGACTACAACCTCCCATTTGCCATCACATCCGTAGCTATTTCAAGTGTTACACCCCGATCTGTCCGACCCACATGCATGTCATTTGTGTGGGAGTTGTGATTGCTAGGTTAAAGGGGCACTCCACCGATTTCACAACTAAAGGTCTGGGTACTGGTCATTGAGGTTTGCCGATCAGCCTAATAAGCCTTTTGCAGCTCGTGTAGATAACTGAGCCATTTATCAGTCACAGAAGGTCAATCAAAAGATGCTGTTGAGTTGCACCATGGAAACTAGAATTTAATGTGTTTTAATTTGATCCATACAGGGGAATAAAAGTCTGTTTCTAGAAAGTCTGCCGACTGTCGGCAGGTATATTGCTAAATCAATGGAGTACCCCTTTTAAGGTTAGGGGTTTGGTTTAGGGATAGTAGGCATACAAACAGTGTGGATCATCAAACAGATTGGGTAATGATACATATATATATATATATATATATATATTCTTTTTTTCTGCTATGAAACTATAATTCTTAATAATCAATTTTTCATATGTTTTTCCGTGGATTTAAATGTCCACACAAGCAATGATAAAGTCTACCGATATCAAAATCACCCCAATCTGTACATCCGATTTCTTTAAAGAGAGAAACAAAGGTCTGAGTGGATAAAAAACAAAAACACATGTTGAACATAACACATATTATGGGCTCCATAA